GTCTTCGTGAAGCGTGGGGTTCGTTCGTACCCACGTCGACACAATCTTGAACAGGATCAAACTTGTTCAGACTCGTTCAGACTTGTTCAGACTTGTTCAGACTTGTTTCGTATCCCGGTCGAAGAAAACCAATCTATGATGCTTCGCTTGTTCAATCCGGCTCGATTGGACCAAAATTGTGCAGTGCCGACGCTCTTCGATCCTCTGCTTTATTCTTCCTTGGATATCAATGAAACTCCTTAATTTGAAGTGGACTGTATGTTTATTCAAAATGTCAATCTGACTTACGAAACAAGAAATTGTAACAAGTGCTTCCATGAGTGAATACAAAAAGTGAATGAATTACAAACCAAAATTCGCCCATATTTATACCGGCACGATGTCTCCCACATCGTACCGGTCCTATCAATGGGTCGCTACGCGGCTCGGCCAATCAGAGCTCTCGAATTAATCATTCTGTTCTGGACTCTAGCTCTGACCGGCCAGGCGCGTACGGCCGTCCGTAACAGACAGTCAGATGAAACAAACTGTATTCTACAGCTAAAGAGTTCCATTTTCATTTGTTGTAATTATTTTTTAAATATTGTTTATGTAAGTGGCCAGTTCCGGAAACTTATAGCGTGCCCTGTGTATTATGATATTAATTTATGGTGTTATGTTATGCAATAAACTTAATAAATTGCAATTATCAAAGCATCATCTCCAGCAGCCGCTGGTAGCTGAAAAGGTCCCTGCTTGACTGAAAAAAAAACTTTCGTACCTTTCTAACAGATAACGCTACGGCAAAAAGTCGTTAAAAACCAAAAATAAAGACCTGCAACAAGCACAGAAAAATTCATAAGGTCTGCTGGTTCGTTCCGTAGCTCAGTTAGGAGAGCGTCAGGCACGGTACGCTTTTTGTGAGACGGTATGCAGGAATTTTTCGTAGTGTTCGATCTTTGTATTAATAATTAATTATGTTGAACTGTACCTACATGTAAGAGTTACACACGGGGACTTTTAGCATCGATACAAATGCGCGATTGCATCGACGCAATCGCCTATAAATCCCAATTGTAGCGATGCAATCGCGCGTTTGTATCGATGCAGTCGCGCGTGTATAAAGGTACAGGATTAACGACTGCATCGCATTTGCGTCACTGCTAAGAGTCGCCGTGTGTAAGTATAAAGTAGTACTTACGAATACGTAAGTGATGCGATACGATATAAAATCACAGGTACAGCTAGTAATAAAAGACATATGTATTTTATTTATTTATTTACACCAGCCCGTTGCACCAAGTACCAAGTATTTATTTATTTATATCAGGTAACAAAAAAACCCATGTATACATACCTTATAGACTAACATACATAACAATATAAAAACAAAATACACCTATATTATATATACCTTAAAACTAACATACATACAATAAAAAAAAATTGGGTGGTCCAAGGAAATCAATACGAATTTTACAAAAAGGTCCTTAGGGAAAATTCCACGCGCTCGGCGGGCACTAGTACACCCTAGTGCGGTAGGACTAGCACGACAGGGCACTACTAGCGCGAAAGCGACATAGAGATCGAGATACTGCTATTCTCGCATAGAGTTATCGCGCTTTATGTCACTCTCGCGCATGTCACGCCTTGTGGTGCTAGCCCTACAGATACCACAAGTACAAATGAAACGCTGTGCTGCTTCGTCCACACTGCAAACCAAAACATAGATCGTCTTTTTTTATATTGTATCAAGTGATGGGGTGAATAAGTAGTGCGCCTGGTGGTAAGCGACACCTACCCATAACTATGCAGTGTCACTGGGAGCTTTAAATCGCAAAGATCTCGAAGCACTTAGGACACTGTCACTGCGCCCGTCACCTTGAAACATTTTATCGACTGAAAACTATTCCCGTGTGCCTATCTCTAGAGTTGCTCCTTGTAAACCATAGAGGCAGAAGGACCGGTGCGACGACGACGGCTTCACAAATGTGGAGAAGAGGAAAAGAAAGCCCACCAGACCTAACCAGTGTGTCGCACCACCGACAGAACAAACCATCAGCTGTATCGGGCCATATTGACGACACTACTGTACCTGTATATTTATTATAAGGGTTAAAGTTGCCTGATATGACAAGTACCATATACTCATAGTATAACCAGCACCCTTACCCTTTAAAACCGGTACCTACTCAGCAATGTTCACATTATTGCTTGGCGGTTTTACCGCGGTCGAACTCGTTCACAAAAAACTCTCCTGCTTCTAAAATTTAGCTTCCGCTTTACTTTTGCCAAAGCCTTGTCAAACAATAACCTTGTCACGTGGTAGCAAAGGTATTACTAATGATTTCTCACAAAACAACCAATTCCTTGTTTTAATAATAACGGATATTTTTGGTAAGGTTTCAATTTTATATCATTAACTTTTCGCAAGCACCCCAGTTTAGCCTAATCGATAACTTTTAATAATATAGTATTGGTTTTAGTCTCGTTACGTAACTACTGGTCCAGAGAAATATTATTGATTAGTAGCAGTAAAGCGCCTTGTGAAAGAGTTCGTCCAGAGAATTACTGCCGCCTTATCTATTTCAAATTACCTATTTCAGTGAAATTACAGGCAAATCGGACTTTTCAACTTAGGTTTGAAAAGTCCGATTTGCCTGAAGTTAGGTTTCAGGGTGACAGACGCAGTGGCAGTGCCTCTCATATCGTTGCGATTTAAAGCTCTGTGTGACACTGCAACTGTTTTGGATAGGCGTGTTGCTTACCACCAGGCGCATGACTTGTTCGTCCATTTACTTAGTATCATAAAAAAATAGACTCTATCACTCTTTCAAATCTTTCAAATGTGAAAAAGGGACATTTTTGGAATATTCTCGTCTAGATGATGCTTGTGATATAACAAAATCATCATGAGATCTGCGTATACTGTGTTGTATTGTATTGCTTTAGGCTTAACTTTGAGTGTTTCAGCGAAGTCAACTCATATGGTTTACGTGAAATTGTTATTTTTGTCGAGACACCCATCGAGTTAATGCCATCTGAATTTTTTTCTATGGGTTCTTTGATATTTTATTTAAAATCACAAGAGAAAATTTTTATTTATATATCTTTATGTTCCCGTAACTTTTACATAATCAAAATTGGATTAATGTCCAATAAAATAAAAATTGAAATAATAGTAAAGATAATAATTATAGTGACTAGTGATTTGGAAAGGGTAGATGTTAATACAGCATTTTGCTTTGCGGTAATGCCGCCTATATTAATAATGATAATCTTTGTACTGCAAAAACGTGCGGTTAGAGCAATTTACAATCTGGACGCTAAAATGTCTTTGAGAGAGTAGTTTAAAGAAATTAACATTCTTACCAGTGTAAGAGTGCGTCACAGTATATTCATGATAATTTAACTTATGTTAAGAAGATAAGTATTTTTTGATAAACATAACATTAAAACGAGAAATAAAGTGACTGTACTTGTTAGTGAAGTCACTTTCACAAGTTGCAAAACCATTTAAGCAATGTATAAAGGTGGAACAAAAACTTTACACTAAAGGAAATACAACTATGCGTACTTGGATGACAAAAATCGATAGTAGTATCCCGGTTAGCTGTTACAATATGGATTTTAAGACTTTCGTGGTTATTCACTAAATGATTATCACTAATATCAGGTTTTTTGCCACGGCATGACTTCTTTTTCAAATACAGTGATTGTGGTTGGTGTGAAAAAAATGAGTGACAATGGTAACGCCACCACAAATCGCGATGAAGGTAGTCGTCAACAGCGCAAGAGGATAGACAGATACATATGTCTGCTCTTAAAACTGTCATCTGTCGCCGTCCAGGTAACCCGTAACCATGGAGCGTGCAACCGTTCCGAAATATCGGTAAAATAAAAAGAAGTCATACCGTGATAAGAAACCTGATATTAGTGATAATCATTTAGCTCTTACAAGTTATCTCAATCTATGGTATTTCAAATAAATATTGTAAATTACAACAACCCCTAGAGTTTCTCATTCATTATTCTCAGGGGTATCTGCCTTACGAATGAACGATTTCAAATATAATTTCCTTACCTATGAAATAAAGATTATTTGGGTTTGAGTTTGAATAGCGACACAAATTTATACCAATATGTAGGGGACATGAGAGAAAAGGTGGACCTCGACGTTCATAATCTTAAATGTCGTACAAAAGATCAGATCAAAAGTACCAAGACTAACGAAGCGTGCTTTAAAAGATGCTAGAGGAGGAATCAAAAGAGACATTAGAATATAAGACATATACATACATACAAATAACTCTATATGTGCTTATGTTAGACATTCCGAGGCACATCGTGCGGAACTATATTAAATTACTTGGTTAACAATGGTATAATTTAATTTGGCAGCAGAAGAGCTCCTTGTGAAAGAGTTCATCAATGGAAGTACCGCCACCTTACCTATTTCTGCCGCCAAGGGTTGAAAT